TATATATATGTATATATAATGTGTACATGTTTTAAGTGGCAGACAAATAACTTAAGCCATGCAGCTGTCAATGTTCATCACTATTTCTCCATTTTCAGAAGATTTAACAATTAATTTCAGTTCCATGGTGATGACTTTCCTTTTCTTTGAAGCAGTTACACTATGCTTGGGAGCCATAATGAAAAGCAATAAATTTCCACAAACACAACTCAAATGAAAGAGATCAAATATAGTGTACAATCAGGATCTGAATCATGCCATCTTATCTATGAGGCAAACTGCATAAGTTGAAACAAGATTAATAGAGATTGCATCATAACCATGAATGGTTGTAGGTTGGAATTATCAAAACCCACGGACTTTCTTTATGCATGATTAACTATGCTTTATTATTTTTTTTCATTTAATTCTTTTAAAAATATTCTATGCAATTTGAATTATTTTTTGTTTTGGCAAACATTGACCTTTTGTGCCTGAAAAAAAAAAAGTATCAAAAGAACAGTTTTTTCTTGCTTTTATTTTAACAACTTGGTAATGTTTGTTTTTAAAAAGTGATGATTAGAATTGTAATAAAACCTAAGCATATGAAAGTAAATTTATACATTTTCTTTGTTCTTGAGAACTGACAATAAATATGCTAAATACTATTTATTTATTAGATTGTTTATTTACACTATGTATTATTTATTGGAATGGTGAGCAAAATATTAGCTAACTGCCAAATGATTAGAACTTTATAAAATGGTAAATAATAAGGATTTCCTTTATAGTTGGTTTAATAATTTAGTAAATGTTTATAAATTATATATATATATATATATATATATATATATATATATATATATATATATATATATATGAAGTTTTCAGAATGTAAATATAAAATTATTCTTGTAAATAATCTAATACATAAATAGTGTTTAATATTTTTGTAAATTCTCAACAAAAAAAAAGTATAAATTCCCTTTTAATCATATTTCAGTTTCATTACAATTCTAATTATTACTTTTTAAATAAACATCACTGCAGTGTCTTTTGAGATAATCCGTTTTTTTTTGGGGGGGGGTGCATGAAAATCTGCTTGCTTTTGTTTATTTTGTAATTACATCTGTTCTCTTTATTTGTATCTAAACTTTTTCTCATCCTGAGAGGGTTAAATTATTTGTGAGTACCCACAATCTTTCCATGTTGTACACCTCTGGTATGGAGGTCCTTCCATCCTGGGCACATTTTCAACATCATGTGATGAAACAAGATTGTCAATGAGAATTTGTAGTGAAGAGCAGGGCAAGATCCTGTTGCTGAGTAGATCTTGCGAAAGAAATGAGGATGTATGGGATTCAGGAAACCGTCATCAGTCACCAAGCCCTGACCTGAAACCTGGAAGAGAACAGTGAAGAAACACATACTTAGGGCTTAATTCCTAATCACTGACAAAGCATTTCTTCCTGATTTTCAATTATTCTATAATAAAGCATTGAACATCAAGAGCTTGTCAGTGGTTAGGAAATTATGACTGTTACTGATAGAATAGCGCTATTATATATTGCTAACCACTGACCATCCTGTTTCAATTTTCAATCTATTTTTAGAGTAAAATCATCATTAGTGATGTATTTACATTATACATATAATAGCCCTATTCTTTCACTAATGCTTGCCTCAATCCCTGACCATGGACAATACCTTCCTCATTTTACAGGAAAATCATTAGCAATATTGATATTCTATTAATAACACCTGCATCAATTCATGATTACTAATAATTCCTTTCTTCCCTATTTTCAGTGCATTTCTATAGTAAAAACATTAGCAATATATTTACATTGTTCATGCCAATTGCAAAGATGTTTGATAGACTTGCTCTTCATCTTCGTTCTATGAAGTCAGGCCATGATGATGATATTTACATTGTACACATAAGCACATTATTCTATCAGTAACACCTGAACCAATTATCAGTTCCTGTCCCCTGACAATCCCTTTCTTATTTTCTAATACATAGAGATTGCTGAAACTAGTAAGAGCCAATGCTCAAAATGTTTTTTTATTCTCCTCCTTACTGCTAGTAATATTTAATTTGTTAGAGCAGAAAGTGACTAAAGCTAAACAAAAAAAAACTAGTAGAGTAGTGGTACAGTCAGTGGGCATTGACACGCACACACACACATATATATATTTGTCATCCACAGACAGACTGTTCCACAACTCATCATTGTGGTTAGGCATCTGATTGCCTCAAGCTGTGATCGAAACCCGACTGATTTGGTATCAGTCGGAGAATCTACCCCTAAGCCATTGGTGTACAGCAGGAATGAAGGTGAATTTAAATGTACTTATTTTTTTAGATAAATATGCTAGTGACTGGGAGAACTCAATTCATTTTATCGAAGAGCCTTGCATTAGTAGCAGTAACAGTTTCTGTTTACAAATTCACTTTTCTTCCCCGAGAGCTCAACTGGAATAAAAAAAAAAAAATATATATATATATTTGAAATTAGATTTTCTTATATATTGAATCAGAATGAAATCTGTAGTAAAAAAGAAAATACAACTTTTTTTTTTTTTTAATTTTTATTTTAAATTCCTTGAATATCTGAATGTGATGTACATATCTTACGCAAATACTTACTCAGAGCAGAAACTTCATTTCGGTGCATCTCTTGTGATTAATTGCTCCTAATAAACTGCAAAGAATACAAGAAAATGTGCAACACACACTATAATGTACAAAACCTAATGGTGCTTTTAAAAAATGTATCTGTTTCTCGAATAATAGGGTACTTGAAAGAAGTAGGTTGCTTCCAGCACTTCTAGAAGAAAGCATATTACATTTTATTATCTATAAAAACATACATTTACACTGAAAGTATAAAATTGTGCACAAAACATCTGTAGTTGAAGCCATGAAGCTGCAGACAAAAGATTTGGATTTCGGCATTAATGACCCATAGTGATGTTGATATGCTGGTAAAATAACCGACCAACTCATCAATCAATCCTCAACTCAGTTTTATTACACAAATGAAAGTTTTGATTTGGTTGTAAAACTATCTCTGATATAACAAGTTCATCATATTAACTGTTAATAAATCTCTATGAACAAGTCAAATGCTGAAATATGTGTGACAACATGGGAACAAGTAAAAAAGAATTCACATTGTTTGTAATAATGACAAATTTTGTTATTGAAATAACCAATCACTTTACTTAACAAATGCAAGTATGAAAAGTTAAATGAAGGCCTCTAAAAAGGGATAAATTTTATCTGATAAATGGAGGCCCAAATTTGCCTGACTCCATGAATTCTCAGATATTTCTTGACATCCTACACATTTCAGGTTGCAACACTATTTGGTAAATGGTAAATAAGGTTTTCCTTATAGTTGCTTCACATTTTAATAATTTAATAATTGTGTATAAATTTATAAATAAATTTTCACATATATTTCTTTATGTAATATTTTATCAATTGCTACCCCCGCCTCAGAAACTGTATTGCTTGTTTTAACCCACCCGCCACATTATACACACAATACAAAAAAATAAAAATTATAAAAAATAATGGACAGTGTACGTAAACTGGAAAATTTCATTAGAAACGAAAAGATTACTGAACTGTTATGTAATATCAGTCCTCCTTTATGGTGAAAGTGAATACTGGACAATCTCCTCACAGATGGATAGACTTGACACAAAAGAAATGTGGTTCTACAGAAGGATGCTAAGAATATCATGAACGGAGCATGTTAGCAACAACAAAGTTTTAGAGAAAATGGAAACAAAAGGGACACTTACTTAACATCAGAAATAGTTAAAATTTCTGGTGTACAGAAAGAGGAAAGATGACTTGGAAAATTTGACACTTACAAGAACACATTGAAGAGGAAAACAGCGCATGACCTACCTAATGAGAATATATAAAAATGGCTGGCAAAACTGGGTTTAGAAGAGACTAGCAGTAGATCCCGGGGATGTAACAGTAAGAGATAGATCAAGTATCAACCATCATAAAGACTGAAAAATAAAATTGACAAAAATTATTGTTTGAAGTTGACGGACACGCATGTCTTAATTAGTTTTTTTTCTTTTTTTTTCCTCTGAATTGGTCAAACTCGAACAAAAACATTGTTTTCAATCGTTATGAGTCTACCGATTAAATAGAATTTTATTATAAACAATTGTCTTGTAAATGGAATTTTTAAAGCATTCTGAATGTAAAAATAAAGAAAAAAGTGTGCAAGACAATAAGAAAGACTACCTGCTAAAAAAAAAAGTGAAGTTTTGTTGAAATCGGTTGAAAAATGTAGGAAATCCAATCCCATATATAAACGAACACACATACACACACAAAAACAACCTGGGTTTTATAATAAGTATAACTCGATATGAGTTGTCCCCCTTTCATTCTCGCGATTAATCGTGTTTTCAAATTGATTTTGTGCAAAAACAATTGTGTTTTTCCAATTTTTGGCGCTGTTAGAACCACCGCAAGGTAATTTTATGTAGTCCTGTGAAGTTTTGTTGAAATCGGTTGAAAAATGTAGGAAATTCGATCCAATATATAAACACACACACACACACACAATCTGCGTTTTATAATAAGTAAGATATAGCAAAAAGGTAAAATTTACTAAGCTACAAAAAAAGTACAGGAACATGCGGAGAGCCCTGATCGCCAGCGCCATGAAGGAGCATGGCACATATAGAAGTGGTGTTTGTTTGGAAACTGACGAAGCATTTTGAAAAAATCGCTATTCAATGAGCGAAATAAAGTACGTATCCCCCCCACACCCCCAGTGCGGTGACGAAGCCCACCATTTCTAGGAATTTAATTTTTTCACTCTCAGCTTGACATTATCAATTTGTATTATAATTCATAAAACTTTTGAAGAAAAAAAACATCCACCCTTTTTCTTACTTACAGATGCGTCTCTAAACGATTAATTAGTTTAGCCAACCAATCATAATTGTTGTTGCTGGTGTTATCAGCTGTTGCTATGGTTACTACATATGGTTGCCGGACTGTTACAAGTCGAACTGTAAAAATCAAAACAAGGAATTCATTTTTATTTTTTTATTATATATAAGAAAGAATTAATTTTTTTCAGTAGTAATATTTTTTTTATCGTGACAACCTGTATTTAGACATCGGATTATTCTCTCAATATAGTAAGTATTTTTAATTTATAACTTCATTAACGCGGAAGACAGGGAAAAATTGCTTAAAAAAATCTTAAAATTACATTTTCATTTTGTTTTGTTTGTTATAAAAATTATTTCACATCTTTACAAAATCTTCATTCACTCAGCAAATACTATTACTACTTTTTGAATAATGGACTTGCACTTTAAAACTTAAAAAAAAGATTATCTTCTATCTTACTAAAACCTCATCAGGACCACCGAGTGCGAAAAAGGAGTCCAAGAACAAGTACTCCGAAATCGGTGCTTGTCGTCTGTCCAATACTCCATCACGAAAAATTATCATTTACTCCTCACTTTCTGGCCCTGGGGTGCATATTGTTGAGGCTTCTTTTCTTTTTCTTTTTTTCTTTTATTTTTTTTTTTATTTAAAAAAAAAAAAAAAAAAAAAGAGAGAGAGACAAGCTGTTCCGATGTTATTGCACTAATAAATATTGTCACTCAACCCCAACCCAAAACATTAGGAAAAGCGGACACGGCAGTCGTTTTCATCAGCTGTCTTACCTGGCACTGACAGTAGAAGTCTTTTGGAATTTGGGAAAATAAGTTTTAAAAATATCGGGAAAAGTTTTTGTTGTGTTCGTTGTGTCGCGTGTATAAATTCATTTTTTATTTTATTTTATCAGTAATTTGGCATAAAGGTGTTTTTTAGTTGTTTCTACGGCTTATCAACCTTTGCAGGTTATTTAAAGCCAGAAAATATTTTTAGATTGTATGATTTTTTTAAAGATAATGGTTTGGTGATACAAGTCTTACTAATTAGCCCATAGCTGTGAGGAGAAGAGGTGGAGTAATAATTTTTCAAAGAGTATTTGAGCGTAAGCGAGTATAACGAACCCAACGGCAATTGGAACTCGACTTTCCGATGAACAATTTCAAGCCATTATCAATTACACCACCCGTAGGTGGTCTAGGTACTGACCAAGTTTAACGTTGCGTATCGTACGGGAATTAGTGTTTCAACGTGATGTAGTCGTAAGCGTTTTTCACTTTTTCTATAGTTTTTTTTTTTTTTTTTTTTAGAATTTTGATCATTTTTCCTTTTTTTCCTTTTTTTTTTTCTTTTTTTTTTTTTTTTAATAATTTTGATCATTTTTTTTCCTTTTTTTTTTTTTTTTTTTTTTTTTTTAAAGGACCATCAAGGTAAAACAATCCTGGGTTACTCTACTAATTTTTCATTAACAGGATATTTTTTTTTTTTTTTTTTTTGTAGAAAACTAAAACATCTAGCAGCTTGCTGTTCGTGAGTTTCTTTATGCAAAAATAATTAAAATATTTTTGATTTCAGTAAATTTACGTTACAATATTGATTCTAGATATGAAAACGAGCTGAAATCTTTTTTTTTTTTTTTCAAAAAGTTCATCAATCTGACGAGGGCAATCATATTTTTTTAGTGATTGGGTTTAAGAGAAGCAGACGACAACGATTATAATCCGTGTTTTAAGGCCAAAAATAGGTAAAGCTAAATATTCCAACTCTTACGTAGACGTTTTTCTTTTTGGCACTACTTAAGTAAAATGGTCCACTCGTTTTTTGCTTTTGTTTTTTTTTAAAGGTGGGGGGGGTATTTCAAAAAAAATTTTGAAGATCCACTTAAGAGTACTTTCCTCAAGTACCCGACCTTTATTCAAAATCGAAAACATTAATATTTTTTTTTATCAATTTAGAAAATAAAGTCCTGTTCATAAAATCAATACAGTGTCAAATTGATCCCTGACTTTTACAGAGTTATCTGCATTAGTTTTTATTTACAAATGTCATGCCTTGGAAATCTGCTTGCGCCATTGATATCTGCATATTTATACTTTGTTAATTTATGTAAATTTTTCTTCTTCTATTAAAAATATTGCACTACTTTAAAATTGATTTTCTTTAATGACAAATCTTTTTTTAAAAGAAAAAAGAAAAATATATATTTTGCCAAACAACTGCATATTTAAAATATTCTCTTAAAATAAAACATATAAAACTATATATATTCGTTTGTTCGTTATGTAAAAATAACATTTTCATAAGATAAAGAAAAATTTTCATATGTAGAAGTCAATGATGTAAAGCAGTTTCAAACTTGACATTTGTAAAGAAACATCTATGTTCTGATAACTCTGTAAAAGTCTGGTATCGGTTTTAAACTGTATCGATATTATGAACAGGACCCCCTCTCTCGCAGGACTAAAATGATTAGAGGTATAAAAATAAATTACTTAACTAGTTAAATGATACTTTTGGGTTTAATTAATTGATTTTGTTTTGATTATTTTCTTACCTGTTTGATGTCATAAAAAAGGTGAAGAAATTTAAAAAAAAAAACAATTGAATTGATACTATCAACTGATTACAGTCACAGAATTTATTTTTTTTTTTAACTTTTGTACAAGAAATAATCTAACAGCTGTAACAATGAAATATTTTTTTGAAACTTTCACTCTAAAATGGCATAAAATTGAAAAAATTTTTGATTCTTCAAACATATCTTTATTTAATTTAAATAAAAAACTTATGAACGGCAATGAGATAAATTTCAAAATCACATCAGAAAATTACAAGTAAATTTTAAAAAAATAAATAAATATTCAGTGTAGAGTCAGGAAGTATAATAATGTGTTTTATTAAATTATGTAAGCCCCTCCCCCACTATCAAAAGAATTTTGAATTTTATTGAATTATTTTATTCAGTAAGGCTCAGTAAAAATATTCAGTATATTTACATAATTCTTTTTACTTAAATCTTCATGGATTTTTCATTAAATAACTGTAAAAAGATCTTATCCTCCCCCCACCAATTAAAAGGTACATTCAAATTACCAAAATGGGGCTGAAACTGGGCTCTCCCTAATAGCCTATTTGATATACAATTTATTTATTAACAAATAAGTGACTGACAATTTCATTTAAATGGAATAATTTCCTTATTTTTTGTCAAATTATTAAAAACAGCCTGTAAACTTTTTTTGCTTCTCTTTGAAAAAAGTGCATCCAGGTTGGTAGTACCTAATATATATGGATATCACACATTTTTTTTAAATTGCTAATATACCAGAAATACTTAGTAGATACTTGTAGAACTTCTCTGTCTCTCTACATACATTTATAGTGGTGTGGGACCTCGGGGTTAAAATGAACAGTTGATTTACCCATGCAAAGATGATTAATGAAGGGTGGTAATGACAAGGAAACACACAGGTAATTTTAAGAAAACTAGGAATTTATTTATGAATTTACATGCTTGAAGTTGTTTCAGTAGCTTGTTTCAGGAAAATAATTCAGAAATTTTAAAAGTCTGTAGTTTAAACAAATTGTAATGAAGAGAAAATGTTCACACAAAGGATTAAATGATCTGACACAAATTAATATTCAAAAATGTTTAAAACAAAGAGAGTTGTTCATAGAAGAGATGCATGGTTGCATATGTTAACAAGTAGATGAGAGTGTAGCGGACCCCCTGGAGGGGGGGGGCGATATGAAAGCACAGCCTGAGCACCCTCGTATCGCAAAGTGATGAGGTCACAAGAGGCCCGCTAACATTTCTCATATTGAAGACGTTAAATCTGACAAGGTGAAACAACACAGACGACAGAACGAGGATATGTAGGATTAATACAAATTTATTATATGAAGAAAGAGTGGTGGTTAGACTGGTTGTGTCGTCGGGGTGCTGACGTTCCGGTCGGGTTGACGGTTGGAGTCGGGATGCCAATGTTCTGGTTGTGTTGACAGTTGGAGTTGGGATGCTGACGTTCCAGTCGTGTCGACGGTTGGACACTGGTCGAGGTCGGTGTTGAAACTTTCCATAGTTATTACAACAGGTAGTATATGGGAAAGGTTACGGATGATGTGTAGGCAGCCAGTAGGGATGGAATGCCGAGAGTCAAACATGGGCAAGGAGCCAGAAGTAATAGGAGAAGTAAAGAGAGAAAGAAAGGTTTCCAACTATCATCAAGTTGGCAGACAAAAAAAAAAATGGGAGCATAACTTAATACACATCCCGGGTCGATGTCCTGGCCATGGTTTCAGTCTCTGTCCCTTGAATTCGGTGAGAAGTCGCTGTATTAATACGCTAGTAAGGGAGACTAGCAACAGAATTGGTATAGCTAATACTGTAAAATCTATCTACAAAATGAGTTGAGATTTACAACATGAAAACTAAGGCTTAAAAGATGTTTAGAGGTATATTATGACTAGGTTCGTAATACAACTGAACTAAAAATGTAATTAGCTAATCTCTACCACGTAATTAGCAGCATGTAGGGAGCACAATTGAAAGGTCAAGGTCGAAATGACCTGTTCTTTTCCAGTTTAGGGAGTGACCAAAGGCGGCCATGACAAGAGTTTGAAATACTTAGCTTTCTTGGCTTGTTGAAGGAAAATTCTTTGAAATGCTGCAGGCTTCATTAAAATCTGATAATTGGCAAATAATTTGACACTGTCAAAAACTTGAACATTGGAGCTGCTGGACTGCAAGCTATTTTACATAAGCTCATGAATTTATTTCTGTCTTCTTCCCAGCTTGCTAGTCAATCTCTGTGAATGCAATGTATTTGTTGAACCAAAGAAAATTTCACATAGGCTCATGAATTTCTTTCCACCTTTTTCCTCAGTTCATCCAAATTTGAAAGGAGTGGGTAATTGGAGTTATTATTTTGTATTGATTTTCATTAATGTCAACTATTTTTCTGCCTTGCCAATTATAATGTTTACTGCAAAAGTTGAGTTTAGTTACCTGTGTGTTTCCTTGTCATTACCACCCTTCATCTTACAGCCATGGGACATCTTGAGAATGTAACCAGAAGTTTGTTTCCACTGAGATGTAAGAAGTGTGACTTCTGTGTAAAGGCTGTGTACATTAATTCTGATTGTATTAGAAAAAGATTCAATTTAAGGACCAAACAGGATTGTTCCTGCCCTGCACTTCAGAAAAACATCATGTCTTTATTCACTCATGATCATTTCTAATCCAGTCTATGATAGAGAGGAACACTTCCAGAGTTCAGTTGTTCTGTTTCAACTAAAACCATTCAAACTGTCTCACACCAATTATTGAAGGTGTGTGGATCTATTACGCACAATCATACATACAAACAAAAATACAAATCACATACAACAGCAAGCATTCATTGGTTTAATTAATCACCACTACCTTATTATAGGCAATTTACAATTTGTAGCAATGTGACAATTTACAAATCGCTCTAATTTTAAGTAATCAATTTTGTGTACTTTGGGAGAAGCAGATCACAGAAGCTTTCTTAAGTCTCTCCAAAGCTCACTTGCTGATTGGTCAATGCCAACCAATCAGATCATTTGCACATGAAGAATAATTCTTCCTGCGCAGCGATTTGGAGCCTACAGTCACTTATTTAAGCAAGAGTTTTCTATTCCTCATTAGTGAGATTTTAGCTGCCAAACGAATCCACGACAGTTGAAACCATGCGCCAACCTTCTCACTCACAAACACTACGCACATGCTGAACATACCTTGTACATACTCACATAAACTCTTCTTACACAACAATATCTTTCAAGAACAATCATTACAAGAGACTCTCATGAACATTCTTCCAGTGAAGTTTAGAACACTAAAATAACAGTTAAAGAGAGACAACTCTTGGTTTATTCAACCTTTTCTTACTTAAATGCATACTTTCCTTCTCATGATTGTTTGATATCATACATTTTGTTAAATACAAATTTTACATGTAACAATATCTTTTGGTTATCCTTTTCTGTGTTAGCCCTGTTTCCTAATCTAAAGTTAAATTAATGTGGTGAAGTCTGCCACAAAGGGCTCCATGACTTAAAGACACTTCATCACATAGACATTATGATTTTTCTTCTATAAGACTGAAACATTTATTTATTCATTTATGCACTAAATTTTGTCACATTAAAAACCCTGTTAACTAAACTTATGAGGTCATATCTACTTTTTTTTTAATCAATTCACTCCAAGCAAGGTGATAATGCCACTAAGATGTAAGGGGATACTGGAAGTGAAAGAGAATGAAAAGAACCAGAAACTGAATTCTAAACATGAAATAAGGGATAAACCTCTATTCCTATTACATATCTTTATTAACCACTCATGGAAAACAATTGTAAACTTTGTATATAAAATTTGTTTGTTGACTAAAAATATCAATCTCTTTTTTTCCTTATATTTCATCATGCCTGTTACCAGGACTAGATTATCCTATAGGCTTGTATAGGCCACAACCTAGGGCTCCTCAAGCTTGCATACAATGCTGGTTATAAAAAATGTGTTTTCTTATTATTACAGTTGTGTTGAAATATGTGCTAATTTGGTTTTCAATTAACAGTAAAATAGCAGTATTTCTTAAAGAATATTTTTATTGACAAACAAAAGATAGCTATTCTGGTTTATTTAAAGAATTTGCAATAAGTTTACTTCAAAATCTGTAAATGTTGCTAAAATATATCATGAGTAAAAAAAAAATTCAAGATGGGTGTTGGTAAGTTAGTGAATCTGTTTGATGGGAGCCTCATAACTTCATTAGCCTAGAGGCCTCAAAACGTCATAATCTGGCCCTGCCTGTCACTGGTGGGTGATTTCAGCTGTTGGGTGGGCAATTAGAAATTTTGGTGGGAGATATAAAATTTTGAGTATTAAAAACTCATTCCAACTTATGCTATTCAAAAAAAATATTCAAAGGAGATATGCAAAGAACCTATGTAAAAAAAAAACAGGAGGCTAATTAGGATAACCGGGTCATGTTTTTATGCAAGATATAAATATCCCTGCAAACAATGAATATTTTTTTGTATTTTCTGTAGTTTTTTGAATTCAAATTGTTCTTCACACAAAATAACATAAATCCAATAAGGGAAAATGAAGAACAACAAAAAATATTCGTTGAATTTTTATTAGCTGCTAATAATGTATATACTTTTTAATTTTATAATTATGAACAAAAATCATTTAATTTTTTGTCAAAACTTGTAATGTTAACCCTAATTATAAAACTAGCTGTGACCATAAAACTAAATTACATATTATATAGGAATAAAGTGTCACTGCCAACACTGGAGTTTGAACACAAACAAGAAATAAGGCGTAAGCCTCTACTCATGTCCAAGACAAGGGGGAGGAGTGTTGACCGGGCAGTAGGAAAGACTACCTATTCCTATTAAATATAACACATACAAGGACGAAAAAACAGAGGAAGGGGGGGGGTTAAGTTTTAAGTTTTAACTTAGTATAAGTCCCATTGTCAATTCTAAAAGAGATTGAAGAAAATAAAGTTATCCGGATTTATTGTATCTAGCCAACACTTTCGCATCTAGCCAAAGACATTCAATTTTCCATTTTTTCTGATTTTTCTTTCGAACCGAGATTTCTAACTAAACCATCAAATAAGTTAGAATGATTGGGACAAAATATGTTGCTATGGTTGAACACACTGACAAGTAGGGGGAGAGAAAAAAAAATTAAAAAAATAAAAATTTAAAGAAAAAAAAATAAAGAATTAAAAAATTAGAAAAATGAAAATGAGTTTTCGGTAGAGCGAAATTATACTCACTTGCTTAAAAAGAAAAAAAAAAAAAATCACCAGAGAGCAAACACAGGCAATCCCATTTTGCATAAGTAGATCACATGATGGTAAAGGAAATGTATATATGGGAGTTAGTGTGTCTTCTAAGTGATCACTATATGGATTACTATTCAGATCACTATTCAGTGGTTACTATTCAAGCAAGTATTATCAAACAAGTACTGTTAGTGCAAGTGTTATTCAAAGGCATCTGATACCAGTATTGTTCAATGGCATTACTATAGATATATCTGTGATTACAAAGTCTCTACTACAACAAGCATTACTAAAGTGACAATGAGTATTTGTTGACATCACAAAATATATATATAGTTTTCAATAGTCAGGTTTGCTTTTGTTTGTTTTTTTAATAAGGTACTAGCAGCAGCAGTCACGACATAAATCATCATTATTTGTTGCCTCACTTTGGTATTTTTTAATACATTGTAAAGTCAGTTCACGAACCAGTAACAAACTTTTACCAAACAATTTTGTTATGCTTTTGAGTATTTACAATACAGGTAAAAAGTGAAAGTGGGCAATGACACAAAAAAGGTTAGTAACCCCCTGATTTAATTGATGCTTCATTTTTGTCTTCTTAATACTGCAAAAGCAATATTTTATTTTATTTTCATGATTATTTAAATGAATAATGATTTCTCCCTGATTTCTTTCTAGTTTAACATTTTACCAATGGATCCACAAGAACAGCCAGAAGAAGATCAGTCAAATGTGAGTGATAGAGCGGAAGATCAGAAGGAACCAGAACATACAAAAGGTCAGTTTTCTGTCCCTCTTTTACAAGTTCTCAAAATCTACTTGCTATATAGTCTTAGGAGCAGAAGAGAGGAAAGGTAGGACCATAAAACTAAAACTCATCCAGTTACCACACTTTCCTACTGCAGTGGGAAGGCTTACCTCTCCATTGGACCTGAAACTGATATATAAATTTTTTTTGTTCTTAAAACTAAACATATATATATATATATATATATATATATGTAAGCAAATATATGGATATAAATCCGACAGTATGAAAGAAAAATACAGAAAAAACAAAATTCTGAATATGCATTATTAATGTTAAAATAAAGTCGACGTCATTTTGTTCATTTAATTTTAATTAGATTTAATTAATTTTAACATTAATAATGCATATTCAGAATTTTGTTTTTTCTGTATTTTTCTTTCATACTGTTGGATTTATATCCATATATTTGCTTACATACTGTCTACTGAAAATACAAACCTGAATTTACTTTATAACGTGGAAGATTTCAAGCTTGGACGACAATAATAGAATCTATTGATCAAGTAAGGAATGGAATTTTTATTGAACTGTTTTTTTAGAACTGTTGCATCGTTTTTGAAATCATTTTTGGATTTGCATTGTAACGGGAAGGACTTTCAAGCTTGTTGAAGATATAAGAACCAATTGATCACTACGTATTCCAACATCAACAGAAGAGATTTCTTTAACTGTTTATAAAAATTTTCAATCGACTTTTGATATTTTAATTTTTTGGAAATCATCTTGAATACGTCTTAACAACATCGCCCACGTGACACTCATTGATCATATTTAAACAGAACGCTGATCTGTATAAAATTTCAGTTATCTGTTTGAATTAGTTGGGCTCTTATGTCCATCGTCTTTTGTGTTAAATTGTTATAAGTTATAATGTTAATTATGTTTAAATGAAAATGTCCCTGAAGATGGTCTTAAATAGACCGAAACGTCCAACGTCGACTTTATTTTAACATTAATAATGCATATTCAGAATTTTGTTTTTTCTGTATATATATATATATATAGAGAGATAAAGTTTGTTAGTTTTAATAGGTCATTTGATACCAAATCAACCATATTAATTCTTGTTATCACAACTTTTAAACAGCAATATTAACAGTCCTAAGGTAGGAATGAATATGGTTACTGCATAGAAATAATCTATTAGGTTATAAATGATAGGAAAAGTAATTTGGATGTTGTAGATGAGAAGTTCTCAAAGTTTACAACATCTTCAGGTCTTTATAAAAAACTAGCAGCATGACCCGGCGTTGCCCGTGCTTGATTAAAAAATCGTACGACTCATACAGCAATCGCTATCACTTGACTTAAAATATTTTTGCCCTTCCTTGCCTTTAAATGCTTTGCTGTGCAGATGTTGCTACATGCCTTACTTCTTGCCTATCTCACACTGTGAATTTTTTCTAAGCTCTATACTAAACATTAAATCTGTTATGAAAAAAGAACTAAACAAAATGAACACAAAACGATCAGCTTTAAAAAAGGAGTCGTAACTGGAAAAACTGAATGAAAAAAGAATGTTAACAACAAATACTTTTTCACACCCAACCCAGTTCTGCAGAATCAGAATGAAAACTGCCGCAGAAGCATGAAAAAAATCAATTATTTCCACTATCAATGGGAGTTGGGAAATGTAAAGTCCGTCTTGGCCTTCCCGCTAACTTGGAGTATGTGCATGTAAATTTTGGTGCAAACCCGTCAAAAATTGCGGCTGTGCATTTGTTACACACACACACACACACACACACATCTTGCCTTTTATAGATAGAGATATTGTATATTAGTAGGCCTTTTGACCAAATGGAAGCATAAGAGGAAGATTTTAAAACTTGGAATTTTCAGATATGCCTGTGTCCTTTCTGAATGAGACAACAAATAAAAAAAATAAGTCGGACTTTATTTTCCAGGGAATTTGCTTCTTTTTTTTTCTCATGCATTATATTACTATAAGATACTGATACTTTTAAGGTATTTCATGATAAATGTTTGTTTATAATATTTAACAAGTTTATCTTATATGTGACAATTAAATATAGTCACAATTTAATCTAAAAATATGTTTGGTACCTGGTGTTTGGCTAACAAAATTCTTGCTACAATGTGCTGTTTTTGCTGTGTTATATAATCAATCAAGAAAAATCAGATCATTATAATATAGATTCATCTTTTTCATCTTCTATTGCTATAGTCGTAATTGCAACTACAAATCTAATCAAACATTAATTGGCTTAAAATCTTAAGCACAAACCATTTTTTTTATAAAACCACTGAAGTGCACCAATTTTGTTTATTTGTATAATTTAATTAATTTTTCATACCTTTTCTTTTTTATTGTGATCTAGTCACTGAGGATAATCTCCCTCAAGTGTTATCTCAAAATGAAGAATCCCCTGTTAACAGAGTTGATGAGATGGATACTTCTGCTCAAGAAGAAACACACCATGAAGAGCCTCTGGCAGAACAAGATCAGGGAGAAGACCTTCATCCTGGAGGAGAAGATCAAGAGTTTGAAGAAGAAAGTAAAGAGGGAAGCAAAAAATCTCCTGAAGATGTTTTGGCTGAAACTGAAGCTGTCACCACAGAATTTACAAAAGAGTCCTCTGAAACATATCAGGCTGAGAAAGTGATGGACGAGTCCACTTCTGAAGCTCTCGTTGAAATTGAGCCAAACAACACTGTGGTGGTGAAGGACAGTAAAGTAGGCAGTGATGAACCAGTGGAAGTGAAACCATCACCGGATGATGAAAGGGACAGAGAAACTTCTGAAGCAGAGAAAACAGAAGATATAGGTAAAATTTAACGTTTTTAAATCTGTTGTCAACCCATTGTATTTAACATGTCATGGGAACAAAAAATAATGTTGGTCCAGAGGGAGGGTCAAAGGAACTAAATATTTAGGACAAGAGAGAGGACTGAAGGAAGTACATTGTATTGGGTTGATGTATAATTATCAGGTGTTTTTGTAGGTAAGTTATTTGTTGGTAAAAATTGCTGTTGTGTTTACTGTTTTTAATAAAAATATTATTTTATTTTCAGGTTATAAAAATGCGTGTCAATAATCATATGCTCTAGAATAATCATTTAAAAATTTTATTGTTGAATTGTTATGTTTCTTTTTTCGTAATAAATATTGTTTAAAAAACGCCTGATAATTATGCACCAACCTAATAATTGGGCGTGGAGTCCAAAGAAGGCTCAGAAGTCAAAAGAGAAGCAGAAATTACCTAAGATCACCTAAGAAAAATAAGGCCTCAAGAACTATTACTTGAAACAACACTAATCATTGTCCTGGTTGTTCAAATATTAGCATGTCACTTACAAGAGTTAATCGATTTAATCACCTATTTTATTCAAGTCATTATCTACCTCCAGGACCAGCATTGACCAGCGCAGAGTTAGCCCTGTGGTTAAAATGTTATTCTAAGACCCTGAGGATCAGATCACTAAACATAGTTACACCACTGTGTGTAGGCGGTGGCGAAAAGCAGTCTATTAATGGTGACCATGACCACAGATGTGTAACCCTGTTGACAGGTGATGTTATATTATTTGGTGTCCATGACCACAGATGTGACCCTGTTGACAGGTGATGTTATATTATTTGGTGTCCATGATCACAGATGTGTAACCCTGTTGACAGGTGATGTTATATTATTTGGTGTCCATGACCATAGATGTGTAACCCTGTTGACAGGTGATATTATATTATTTGGTGTCCATGACCACAGATGTGTAACCCTGTTGACAGGTGATGTTATATTATTTGGTGTCCATGACCACAGATGTGTAACCCTGTTGACAGGTGATGTTATAGTATTTGGTGTCCATGACAAACATTTGGCTTACGGCATATCATCCTCAATGGGTTATTTAATGCTGACAAGATTTTTATTGCTGGTTATATTTTTTTTTTCAAATGTACTGCTGGTAAAATTTTTTTCCTTCAAAAATCTATTTCTGTTAATATTTTTTCTTCAAAAATGTATTGCTTGTAATTTTTTTTTTTCAGAAAAGTATAGCTGGTAATATCTTTTTTCAAAAATGTTTGCTGGTAATAATTTTTTTCTTCAAAAACTTATTGCTGGTAATAATTTTTTTCTTCAAAAACTTATTGCTGGTAATAATTTTTTTTACAAAGTATTTCTGGTATTAAAACCTATTTTTACACTTTCATAGTGTTTTGACCTCAGTTTGGGGGTTAACTATTTGCCCATAGCTGGGACCTTAACAGGTGCTACCACCCCAGATCAGGGTGGACCTGGGAACACCAGCAATTAAGAGGTAGTTCCATGCTCCTCAAAACCTCCTGATCAGAGGCTTTACTGTTGGACGTAGTTTATCGTCTTACCCAGGACGCGTATGTAGTTTATTGTCATACCCAGGACGGCCATGACAAAGGATTTATCTCTGGGTTGCTAATATTATAAGGCAGCTGATATGGGAAATCTTGAGTCTTGTTTAATGCTTATTCATTATTTCCAATCCAGGCTGTTTATGAATGATTGGGAAATGACTTATCATTAAATAAGAATAATATAAGACTTCCTCATCTCATCAGGGAAAAAATGTTGCATGGTATTGGATTTTAATCCATGTTCACTATTTGATTCAGTTCAATACAAAATTATATTTATGCATTTAATATGAAATAATGAAACTAATATTTGAAATAAGAGTCTTATATGCCATTTCAAAATACTCCATCAGAAAAAGGGTCCTATATGTCATCAGAAAAATAGCTCTATATGATATTAAAATGTGCATCTTTTAAATGTTAACACAAAAGAGTCTTACATGTCATTACAAAAAGTGTCATATAAGCAATTAAAAAGTGTATCTTGTATATCTTCCAAAAGTAGGTCTATCACAAAAAGGTGTTATATGTTATCAAAATTCATATCTTACAATGCAATCAGGAAAAGGTTTTTACACGTCATCACAATAATGTAATATATACCATCACAAGTGGGTCTTACACAACATCCAAATATAGATCTTATAATGCAACCATAAATCACTCTTATAACGCCATTCAATTGTGGGTCTTAAATGTCATCTAAAAGTTAATCTTAAATGCCATCACCAAAAGGGTTTTTAAATATCATTAAATGTCCTGTAATATCCAAAAGTGGGTCTTAAATGCCATTACAAAAGTGTCTTATGTCACTATTTAAAATGGATCTTATAAACAATTAAAACATGGGTCTTAACTGCCATCACAAGAGTAAGTCTGCTATCCCATCAAATACAGTAGTAGCAATTGTCAATAATTTGGGGTAGATGGAGCTGATCAGTCCAGGAATGCAATCCGTCTAGGAGAAGGAAAACCTTGATTTTTAAACCTTTGCTGTCTTGTGACTATATCTAAACATGGAAAAGGTTAAGAAAGAAAATCCAGGCATAAAATCCAGAGTGGAGCCATAAAAGTGGTAGTCTATCTAAACTGACAAATTCCCAGTATCTTCTGCAGCCAAGTTGGCACCCAAATGTAATGCATTGTATTCCTGTAGATCTTGTTGGTATGGATAAAGTGTGTGCATCTATGTGTGTGGGAGAGTGTGATCTGGGCAGCACATGGTCTCATTCCAGTCTCACAACCAAAAGTCTAAATTTTGACCATTATCTTGTCAGATAAATGGTTGCCTACTTAATTGTCAATATTTGATCTCAGAAATTCAATTGGTATAAAGTTTATGAAGGTCTTCATTTTTTTTTCTCTTCCTGAGAACATAATTATAAGTAACTCTTGTAGAAGCTCCAATATATATATTTTCAAATTGGAAACGGAACACAATAATGCAATTTAATGCAGATCCTGGTGGTTTAATGGTGATCATTCCAGACTGATTTTGTTGTTGATTGAAATGAGACTGAAGTAATGAGGGACATTGTATCAGATGAATGGTGAAATAAACATAGGCAACTTAGATATTCATCGTTAGCCATTCCAAAGATGATAATGGTTCATGTGAAAAAAATACTGAGAATTGAGGAATTATTGTGAAAATGAATCTAACAGACTCAGTCAGGACTTGATCTCAGCATGCTGATTCCACTTACCATGCCAGTAACATTTATGCTCCTCGCAATCTGAATATTAATACCTATGTATCTACCTACATAAAGTACATGTCATGCTCCAAATGAAAAAAAAAAAAAAAAAATTAAATAAAGCATCAGATCAAAAAGGCAAAGGAGTAATAAAACTCAAACCTGTTTGTCTCTTTTCTTTCTATCTCTTCTCTTGCTTTTCTTTTCATTTTTCTTTCACTTTTTTCTTACTTAACCTTTGCCTTTCCTACTTCACTTCTTTTTCTCTTTCTTCTTCACCGCTGATTTTTTCCAGCTCCCTTGTCATGTAGAAATTAATAGATATGCAGCTAATGGATCTATCTATCTATCTATCTATCTATCTATCTATCTATCTATGAAAAGTGTGTGTATATAAATATAAATAAATATATATATATATAATTATTTATATATTATATGCGCGGTACTTATTAGAAAACGCTCAATATCAGAGATAGAGCTAACATATATATATAATATATATTGTGTGTGTTTAAGTTTAGGCATTCTCTCGAGATGTCACATATGATGGTGAACCATTGAATAACCTGAAATTAGCTTTTCAACAAAGTTTTCAACTGTAACAACATTATTCCCATAGAGTTTAGTCAAAAGCACGTTCTCATTAAACAAACCTTTTTCTGGCACATATATAATGCTGAATTGATTCATCTTTTCTAAACTTTTGAAACCATTTACATTTAAAAAAACACCATGTATATTTCGAATTACTTCTGGTCTGAGATCAAAGTGTAATATCTTCTCTCCATGTTAAACTATGGAAAACTCTATTCCCGGGGATTTCAATCAGGTAGCAGCAGCTTCCTCATTGTATGAAAGAAGGTGGGTTGGTGACTACTGCCGCTAGCACATAAGTTGTCACTGAGTATGAGGAGTAATTTTTGTAATTGACTGAATGAATGCGTATGATTCCCCATAGTAAACTGACCTTGTGTCACATTCATGGGTAGATGGATAAATAAATACTTCTGCAACCTTTTCTACACTTATGGACCTCAGAAGTTTTTCCATGTGCACCATAGACCCATCCATTTTTAGGAGGTTCAAGTTAGCAATTAATCTAATTGAATTATGCTGTAACAATGTAACTGACTCCTTTTAAAACTGTATAGGCACATACTAACAAGTCTTGTTACAATTTAAGGATTTTATAATAGCAATAGTTTGAATTATATTATTGCTATCAGATTTTAGACATAATTTTAATGCTGGACATTCTCCCCGCAGATGAAGAAGAGACTTGAAGCAACAGAAATGTGGTTCTACAGAAGGATGCTGAGAATACCATGTATCAAACATGAGAGCAACTTTGAAGTTTTAGAGAAAATGATATCTAAAAAGACACATACTTAAGATCAGGAAGACAATGCATAACTTACCTGGCGAGCTTGAGTAAATGGATGGTGGAATTTGGTTTAGGTGAGATAACAAAAAGAAAATGTATTGAGCTATAAAGGATAGGTAATTGTGGAGCGTTATGATCACCAACATCTTGAAGGGACACAGAACAAAGAAGAAGAAAGGGTAAATCCATTATCTTCCCTAAATATCGCCATAAAATGTTCCCTCTACCTAGAGTGGCTCTTGGGCCTTGTACGAGTGAACATCATTGTAAAAAAAAAATGTTAATTTATACAGCTTAGCATTGAAGGTTTGATTGTTTTGAAGCATTTCATATCATTCTGTTGGCAATGAA